TAAAGAGATTTCATGAGTTGAATTGAACAAAGGACATAGAAACATACTCATTTTCTTGGTCTCCTAGGCCCAAAGAGAATGTAAAGTTGCCAATAATTCCTGTTCATTGTGGTGACCATCCCTCTAATTCCTTTAAGAATTACATCTGGGCCCATAGCAGGGAACTTTTATACCTTTGTGTCAAATCCGAAGTGCCTGAGAGACAGGTTGGGAGACAGCCAATCTTGTGGCTTCATACATCCAGGTGCAAGTCATAAATTAATTCCCTAAATTAAGCTCATTCAGTCTCAGATCTTCTTGCCCTGGGCACTTTCACACTTATCCCGTTCAGCAGTGTGGGAGCTTGTAACAATCAGCTCTAGTTCCTTATTAAGGCAAGGATGAATCACATGTCCTCAGGATACGCCCATACAAAGCTATCAGGATGAGGCAGGGACCTGCCTGCTATTCTGCCCCTGCAATGTCTGTCTTATCCAGTGGCGGTCAGGTTGACTTATACTGAATCCCAGGAGTTCAAATACAAATGGGTGTCTCAGCAGAGATGAGATTCTAATAGTACAATCAAGGCAGATGGGAATGTAATGATTCAGGCAGTAACCACAGGCCTTGCTGAGGCCCAGTGATGAGAAGAAGATGCTAATGAAGATCTTGCAAAAGAGWGCTGCAGACAGAAGGCTCCTTAAGTACAAAGTTCTGAGGAGAGACCCAGCCTGGCAATACAAGGCTAGCATGTCTGAAACTGAGTTAGGGTGACAAGGATGGAGAGGTGAGGGGGTGGCCAGTCAGAATGCAGGGAACTGAAGAGACCACAGTAAGTTGCTTATGGTGTTAATTGTACCAAGAAGTCACTGGGATATTTTAGATAATAGAATGATTTCAACTGATGTATTATTTGAAAATTTACTTGGTTGCAATGAGAATAAATGAACTGATATGTGGTAGGTGGGTCCGAGRCAGGGAGACTAAGTAGGAGGATTTAGTCTTAGGAAGATGTGTTTTTTGTCTTGGAATAGGGAGATAAAAAAAGGGGAAAAAATGGRCTTGGGTCATATATTATAGGTAGAAACCATACTAATTAATGGACCATGGACAATGCTAAAGATGGGGACTGAGGAAGACTACCTAATTCATGCCATTAATATTTTTGGAGCTTCTACTTAATCCAAGCACAAAGGTGGGTACTGGAGATATTTTAATGAGAAAAAAAATCAGACATGATTTTGCTTTCATAGGACTTAAAATCAATTGAAAAAATATCAATACAAGTAAATTATTAACTGAAAGCTCAGGAAAGGGCAATAAAGAGAGCTTTATGGTATTATTAGTTCAAATAATGGGTCTAATTTAGCTAGGTTCTGTGTTGTGGTGGGATGAGGTGTGTGTGGGTTGGTGGGTGAAGGTGGCGTGTGTACAGTAGTGATTGGCCAGGTCAGGCATGGAGAAAATCCAAAAGGGAAGAAGGTTGTCACAAGGTGAAATATGACAGGGTGTGCAGCATTGGGAGTATGGAGGCTTGGTGGTGGCACAGTTGAGGAACTGCCTGCAGGGCAAAGTGGGGGAAGGGTGCAAAGAAACCATGGCACTGAGCAGGTTATACACAGTCTTGTAGGCTGTGTTAGAGAGATTGGCTTTTATCCTAGCAAATCTGGAATCCTTTACAAGGAAACTMACTAAATGCTAGGGTTGCTTCCCATTCGAAGCTCTCTGTACTTTTGTGATTTAATTTGAGATAAGAAACTGGCAGAACTACAAATTGAACCTCAAAAATAKTGAAATTGCTGGCTTTTGGTTAGCATAATTGGAGTACCTTTCAAAGAATCAGCGTGCATGGTTTTCTCCTCCTCAGGTACAGTGAAATGTTTCAGGGGAGCATAGACATTCCAGTTCTGGTGTTATGACACCATTAATATTATCTTTCTCAAACGTGGAATGGCTTTAGGCACTGTCCCATAGGCTCCTCTCTGAATCTCTGAGTTTTATGAACTTATGCAGCGTGGAAATATGTTCAGTGAGTGCCTATGTAAGTGAACTAAAATAATTGATATGACATTTGTGAATGTCAAGTTATAAAATCTATGTCAGATGATATTAAGAAGATTATTAGATAATTCAGATGAACTAAATAACTAGACTGTTTCTGGATATTTCTGCTAACCTCTCAATTCTCTAAGATGAAGWAATGAAGAACGTAAACAATTTAGAATTGCTGTTCTCAATTAGGTTCAAATGTGCCTCCAAAAGGTTAATTGGCAATGTCTTGGGACATTTTATATTTTTACAACTGGGACTATAGTGCTACTGGTATCTAATGGGTAGAGGTCATGTCAGATGCCTATGTCAGACAGGGTATCCAGAACAGCTTCCTAAAACAATGAACTATCTGCTTCAAAATATCAGTAGTGCTAGGGTTAGGAAACACTTACCTTTGCAACTTTTAATAGGGACAAATAACTTTTTCTTTTTGAAGGGAAATAACTCTCATGAATATGACTGTTCTTTTTTTTTAAGGAAGGAGATGAAGGAAATGATCTCAGATGAGCTAAGATTTCTTCAAACTTAATAACATTTTTTWAAAATTATATATCTGTTGTATTATGAGACCATAATAAGCTGCTGCATCTCCTCTTCTTGAGGTGGCATTTTCCTATTGAATATCCAGTGACCTCTTCTTCATCCTTTAGGTGGGACTCAAGAATCCTTTCCAGATGAACTATGGGGAAAAGTCAGGTTTCCTCAAGACTTTTCTCACTTAACCCTGGGTTTTAGTACAATGTAGCATTGTGCATACTGGATAATTTTGAGGTTTTGAAGAGTCTTGGTTTAGGAACCAAGTGAGAAATAAGATGAATTGTAAGATAAATAAAGCTAAAGTAATATTACAAAATAATAATATTTTATTATATTTCCTTCTGACTACTAATAAAATGTGAGTTAGAGGATGTAGTTTGGGTCCCAAACCAGATCATTTAATGGGGCTGAAGTAGCTATCATGTTACAGAAGCAGAGACAAGGACACACTCGCTGCAACAGGAAGAAGAACTTTCCCCTGGAGAAGCAGCAGAGGATACTCTCCTTCAGGGAGAAGAAATAAGAAGCAGAGATGAGCATACATTGTGGATCACTTACAAATTGATCAGATAAGCCATGTCATCACGTCATCTCCTTTAGTGCAAGAGTGAGGGAAGGGAAAGAGAGGTCTGGGTTTTATTGAGTTCCATTCATATGGGAGGAAACATCAAGGGTGGRAAAGATGCCATCCTTCCCCCTGCTCAACTTCTGCAAATTGTGACTCTCTGCTTGTCACTTTTAGCTGTTACCTGTGCTATCCAATTCAATAGCTACTAGAAATGTGTGGCTATTTTAAATAAAATTAAACACACTTGAAAATACTGTGAAGGCTCAACAACCCAAGTAGCAGGTGGCTACCATATTGGACAATGCAACTATAAATTTTTACCATCAAAAAAAGATCTACTAAGTGTTGCTATTAGGAATTTTGTCTTAACTCATCTTTGTGTAATCAATGCCTATAAGAAGGACATCATTAAAAAATGTTTGAGTGGATATAAAAAGCAGACTATTGTGATTTTGTTTTTCAAATCTCCGTGTTGTAAAGATCTTCCAATTCTAATGAAGCAAGATGAAAATCAAACATAGATAACCTTGCTAAWTAGAATAAATTAGGTAAATAATGTGCATCCTATAATCCTAATTTTGTTAGAAATAATTATTTATATGTATATGTGTATATATGCATACATGTTTATAATGTAGGAAAATAGTCTTAAAGGGTACATAACAGATTATATATAGCATATAATGACTGAGATTGACAAGGAAAATAAGGAAAAACTGTTAACTAAAAATCTTGTTACTAGGCAAATGAACTAATTTGAGTGAAAAATAATAAGTGACAGATTAGGTAATATGTTAAATTTATAAATAAATAAGGAAAATATGGCTGTTGTCAATATCAAATATTATTGAAAGGTCATTTTAAGATAGAAGAGAATAAAGTGCTAAGAAAAAAATGGTATTGAAATATAAAGACAAATAGTAGTGATTAGTCTAATGGATGTTTTGTGTAAACCATGAAATCTGTTTCTTATGTGGTATGTAAGGTAATATTTTCTTTCCCAAGATATAGCTCTCCTGCTAAGCTGCAGAGAAGGATGGGGCCAGGTGGTACCATTACATTTTTCTGTTTTTCCTTCTGACCCAGCAACACACTTTCTTCCACCTCTCCTTATAGAAATTACTTTTGTTTATTGCAGGAGTAATCTTCACCCTGGGAATGGACTTAGTGGTGATATCTGAGTCAGACCCACTGACTGTGATAATCCTCTTTCAGTCTTAGCTTGCTCTTCCTTTGATAGTTTATGCTGGACAGATGCTGGACCAGAATTTAGCCCATAAAATTAAAACATTCTGTTTAACAGGGCTAAACCTAAATTGCTCAAGCAAGGACATTAAGTCATGAAGTGGTACCTTAAAAAGTATCTTGGGTCATTTAATTCACAGTAAAAGTAAACCTAGATTCAAAGGAAGATTTTTTTTTTTATACGTCACAGTAATTTCTCAGAGGGGAAAAAAATAAGCTATCATTATGAGAATGGTAAAACAAAATGAGAGTGACAAATAAAATTATACAGAAAGATCAGTTTAATTAGTAGCTCTGCTATTTCATTTCATGTTAGTTGATGGAAGAAAAAAGTATTTTCATCAAACAACTGAAATGAGTGAATTTAAAAAGATAAATATAATTACCAAGAAAAATGATATTCACAAAACATTTTTAAATGAGCATTGTAGATGTGATATCTTTGTAATGATTGCATTTATTGACTATTATTCGTTTTCAGATCACAACAGATTCTCAGCTTGAGAGAAGAAATTCCTTCAGGGTGACTGCATCCCTGAGGACTGATATTTGAAGAAGTTGAACTGTTTTGTAGATCATTCCTTTCTTAATATTTTCTCTCACTATTTCTATTTTTCAGACTCACTATGAAAATGGGGAATATATTATCAGGCAAGGAGCAAGAGGGGACACCTTCTTTATCATCAGCAAAGGAAAGGTAAGCTTTGGTGGTACCAGAAGTGATGGAGGAAGGCAGGCTGGGGTGTTCAGCAGCACTGCTGGAACACAGGTGTTGATCTCGGGTTGTCCATATCCTCTGACTCTGACAGAGAAATATTTGAAAATGGATCTTCTAATGAATGATTTAGGGTGAAGAAGAGTGTAACTTGGAAGACCAGTAAGTACCTGAGTGTTAATAATCATAATAGTTCTTATAGAGGACACTTGGTAAGTCTGTGTTAATAGAAAGGTCTCCACAAAAACACCACCAAACTTCTTTCAACTTAAAAGAAAATAAAAAATAAAAAAAGAGATCTCCCAAATTAAAACCATACAACAGTAACAATAACAACAAAAATAACTAAGGGCACCTAAAAGATCCATCCAGTCTTCAGGAGCAGTAACATTGATATAATGAAGCATCTGACCTTTAAAATCAGACAGTGTAAGTTTGAATTTGCCTTTAAACTTACTCAATTTAGTCACATGAGGCAAATTGCTCAACATTCTGAGGTCAATAAAAACATAAATGTTTCCATGTTGTATTGTAGCTTCATGAAGAATATTGGGTAAAGACTAAGAAACTAGTAAAGTATAGGACAAGTAATAATAGGTTAGACATTGGGTGTGAATGAAAACTCATACTTTACTCTTTATATTGTTTTGATTTTTCAACAATATATATTTCAATGTATATTACAATTTATATTCGAAAACCAAGAAATTGAATTAATCCTATAATGGAAATTTATTTTAATGCTCTACTATCATATTGCTAAAAATATCATAAATTTCTTTCAACAGTAAAATCATAATCGTTTTTTAACATTGTCTTTATGCTATAGTCCAGGATTAGAACTTATTTTTCTTTTTCATATATTATTCTTAAAAAGTATTTCTGTCTCTATGCATTAAGTATAGAAAGAGATGGGGAGATAAATGCATGTAGAAAGGAATTATATGACATTTTTATAATTGTCACTTTAAAAATTAAGTAAATATAATTTTTCTAATTTAAAAAGATGACTGATTCTGGTAACTTATAGCTTATCTTTTTAATTTACTTTGGGGTACCAGGGATTGAAGCGAGGGGTACTTAATAAATGGGCCACATCCCTAGCCATTTTTATTTTTTATTTTGAGACAGGGTCTCACTTTTTAAATGACTTAGGGCTTTGCTAAGTTACTGAGGCTGGCCTTGAATTTGCAATCATCCTGCCTCAGCCTCCCAAGCAGCTGGAATTACAGGCATGTGCCACTGTGCCCGGTTAGAAAGATTTACTGTCWCAGTAAATTAGATGTGTGAAATATTCTAAGTATTTTTGAATTACATTTTAGAGAATCCTCTTTGAACTAATATTGAATCAACAAAATGAATATATTAGTGTTTACACCAGTAAACATCCCAATAAAATGAAGAAAACAATATTTATACTTTAATTATATCTATTTGTTTGACTTYAATTACTTTAATTATATCTGGTTGATATCTTTGTTATCATGGAGTAATCTGTATGACAGGATTTCCGACCATCCAATTATTGCAAATTTCTAGCATTGCCTGAGAAAGTAGTAGTCTTTTGTAACCAGTTTCAGCTGAAAACAGGTGATGCTGTTTTATGAGTTTTGTAATGTGTATAATAGAAACAGCTTGGAAGTTACACTATAGGAATCAATTCCTTTGAAAATATTTTAGTACATTGTGCAGATCCTGGGAGAGAAAGAGTGACATATTAGACTCTTGACATGGTCATGATTTTTTTCAAACCAGGCATGGATTTTTTCTTGGTTTTTAAAGTTGCACARTTAGCTTCTGTGAGTCCTAATTTTATCAGTTGATATGAAAATTATATTAATACATTAGAATCACTATAAGATATAGAAGGTGGTGAACATTCATAAGTCCCTGTTGTAAAAATTAGGAAAAAGAAATGAACAATGATAAAATAGGTTAAGATTAGCAGACAAATAAGTTGTAGAATTTTCTAAAATTGTGTGTCTTGTTTCAGGTATATTGGTATACATCTGTTTTCCCATGCACTTGTAAAATTTATAAAGGGTAACGCTGGTGAAGATATTTTTCTTGTTGCCATTGAACTGACTTTTTAGAAAATGTTGTGAGATAAAAGAAGACACAACAGTGGGCTATGGAGTTACAGATGGATTTTTCCTTGTTTAGTTYCATTTATTTAACTGTGAAACTTTTTTATTTAAAATAAAACATTTTCATTCTCCCCTTAAGTACATCCAGACAAAGAAATGCATTATAGACTTTAAAATACTTGTTTTCTCCCCATTAAATCCGCACAAAGTGATTTTTCTAAAACTAAAAATAGAGTGCTTACAGAATCTGGTGCTTGCCTCAGGTACAAGCTGAGTTAGTTCTCTGTACTTTAGTCAGTGCATTCCAGTAGCCCAGAAAAATGACTTTTTCCCTTAAAGTAGRAGGAAGCACTGAAGAATTCTGTGTGTGTCCCTGCAATGGTAAAGCCTCTAAAAACTATTTCTCCATAYACAAGTTAAACCAAAATTAAACAGGATTGGATAAAACACTTTCACAATTCCAAGAATAATTCAAATGCATTTTTATTTTTCTGGTTCTATTCAACATATCTTATATGAAACCAGTAGAAGAAACAGATTAAAATTTTTTATCTATTAAATGACATTTAGAAGTACATGGCTTTGCTTCTTAGAATTAACAAGCATTTAAGCATGATGATTAAACATATTAACATGATGCTCAGTATTTCTGAATATGGAAAGTGTTCTCTTATGGAAATTTTATTCGTATAGGCATATACATGTTTGTGTATACACAAGTGAAGTAGTAGCAACATTTTCTTTTATATTAAGAATAAGATAAAGATGCATGCTATCACCATTTCTATTCAGTGTGATATTAGATATCCCAACTATTTTATTAAATTAAGAAAAGGACACAATATTTAGAAATAAAAAAGTTATTAAAGATGATATGATTTTAGCTTGTTTTTCATGTAGATATATTATTAAAATTAGTTATAATTTAGCTAGATCAGTACTGTTCAGTATACTATACTTTTCTTTGTTAAAATGTACCATGTATATACAGGCTAATTCAGTGGCCATTATGTCTCATTTGATATCTAAATTAAAATTAGCTAAATCAAATGTTCAGTTTTTTAGCACCAGTAGCCACATAGCTGTATAGCTACATGCATCTAGTGGTAACCAGACTGGACAGTGCAGATATTGATATTTTACTATCATTTAAATATTGAAAAATGAATCACTTAATACAACTCACCGTATGAACTGTCTAAAGAACGATTGAATTATCATATCAACCAATTCAGTAAAGCCATTTGCTAATGCAACATCTGTTTATAATAAAAATTCTCAGATGGCTTCTACAATGTACCTACAGTTAACATAATTAATAATGAAACAAAAACAATAAATGAATGAGAATAGTCAGTGAATAAGGGAGTCTTTTTAACAAGTAGTGTTTGAACAATTAGTCAGCCACAGGCAAGAAAGAAAAGTAAAACTGGACCTAAACTTCATACCCTGTGTAAAAATTAAATAGAAAATGATAAAAGACTTAAAAGCAAAATGTTAATCTACAAACTGTTTTGAAGAAAATCTTTGTGATTTAGGGTTTGGTAAAAACAAAACAAAAAACCTCCTAGACATCATACCAAAAGCACAAACTATAAAGAACAAAAGGTAAATTGGGCTCTATCATACTTATGAAATTTTATTCTATGAAAGATACTGTTAAGAGACTAAAATGATTACCAACTAACAGGGAAAGATGTTTGCAAATTAAATATGTGCAAAGGGCTTGTATTGAGCCTATATAWTCAATACCCCCAAACAAAACTACCCAATTTTAAAAAATGTACAAACGACTTGAAAAGATACATCAGCAAAGGAGATATAAAAATGGAAGATGTGTCATGAAGAGATTCTCAATATCATGATCATTGAAAAGCTGCACATGAAAAACCTGGGCTACTTAACAGAATGTTTAAAATGAAAAAACCAATGTATTATACAGAGTGCTAATGAGGATGCAGAGTGATTGGAAATGGTAAAGCCATTCTGAAGAGCAATTTGAAATTTTCTCATAAAGTTAAATAAAGCAATTGTAYTTTGTTGTATTCTAGAAATCTGAAATATAGTTCACATAAAAACTATGTTACAATGTTCATAGTTTCTGTGTTCATAATTGTGAAACACGCTAAATATGCTTCAACAAATGAATGGATAAAGCAACTGTGGTATTCATTCAATGGAATACTACTGGGCAGTAAAAAGAATAAACTATTGAACTGCATAATAACTTGGATGAATCTCAAAGGCATTATGTTGAGTAAGAAAAAGCAATCTCAAAAAATTAAGGATTATGTGCTTCCATTTAACTGGCATTCTTGAAAAGAGTAAACTAGCCTGAGGCCAATAGACTTTTAGTTGCTAAGGTCAAGATTTGGGGAGGACATGAGTATAAACACATACATGAGGGAATTTCTTAAGGTGATAGAATTGTTCTGTGTCTAATTGGGATGCAGGTTATACAAATTTATATGTGCATTTAAATTCATAGAGCTGTAAACCAAAAGCAAAATTCAATTTTACTTCATGATAATTTAATAATCTACATGCACTTCTAAATATTGATAATATTTAGTTAGAAATGTTATTTAATAATCATTTATTAAATCAAGTATCCAGGAATAAAACTAATAAAAATGCTATGTCCTTTTAYGAGGAAATTTTATTTGAGATATCATCATTAAAAGCAGAAGATCAACATAGGAAAATATTTGAAAGGAAAAGGAACCTATAAGRAGATAATGAAGAAAACATGACCGTAATTTTCCTCAGGATTAGACAAATAAACTGAACCCAGATATAGATCCATGATTATGTGGAAACTTGATTAAGACAACACAGGCAATGGAAATTAAAAAATGATTATACACAGGGACATAAAAAATTTGGTTACCTACCTCACACCATATACAAAAGTCAATTAAAACTTAAGTGTAAAAGAAAACAAATCAGAAAATAATTTAAAAAACAATGTGAATACTTCTACCTTCTTGGAGTAGGGAAGGRTTTCTTAAGATTTTTAAAAAATAGAAACAAGGATAACATGGTTCAATGTGATTACATTAAAATTAATAACTTCTCCAACAAGACATGAAGATAGTAAAATATAAACCAAGTCTAAAGCATCAACAGTAATAAAACATAAATACAATAGGACAATAAAATGAATAATGCACAAAAAAGTAGACAAAAGGATGATCAGATACATCATCAGAAAGTAAACACAAAGGATCAAAAAAATATAAAAATGCTTCGTCTCCATTATCATTCAAGAAAATACTATTTACTATTTTTCTTCCTAGAAAAACAAAGTCCTACAGTACCAAGTCCTGACGACTGTATAGCATAAGATGAACTTTCATTTATTGATGGTATGAATGTGCATATGTATCATAAATGAGTCAGTACCTAGTAAACTGAAGATGCATACTTAATAAACTTGCTCTTTATTCATAAATATTTACCCTACTACCCATGGACACCAGAAAACATGTAGAAGAATGTTCATAGAAACAGTGTCAATATCTATCTATATCTATCTATATATCTATATCTATATCTATATCTATCTCTCTCTCTCTCTCTCTCTCTCTCTCTCTCTCTCTATATATATATATATATATATATATATATAACTAAAATGGGAAGCAAACCACATCATTCTCATAGAAGAATTAGCAAATTGTGTGAGTGTGTGTGTGTGTGTGTGTATATATATATCCTAAGATATATATATATATATATATATATATCTTAGGATACACAAATAGCAGAAATGAATTTTGGCTAAATATATTAACTTGAATCAATCAGAAACCCAAGGATAGGGCCCATTAACTTTTATTTTAAATAAGACAACCTACCAAAGTATCCACATCTATAAATACCTCATCACTATGCAAATGAATGTCTCTGTGATATAGCTTTGTAGTAAATAAGAGTGTTAAAAACTAAATTTCCACGGTTTGAAATGCTGTGTAGAGGAGTAATCAAATGGATCAGTGGAGAATAATAATTGAATTCCTTCCACCTTACATAGGCTACTGATACTAATAAAAATTCTAGTCATTGACATCCAATTCTAAGATTCAGAAATCTGAAGCATAGTATTTTTAAATGTGTCTAAGTGTCTGGCATTGTCTCAAGAAATTAGTTTTTCTACTTCATTACATTTTCTGGGTAGGTGAATTTTAACCATTTAACTTTTTGGATGACACATAGACAGTATTATGAACATTACAGAGCTTAAGGTAGAAGTGAATTAATACAAAGGTAGAACTTACTCTATTTATGTCTTTGTTCATGCAACAAGAAAGCACTTACCTTCTATGGGTTGTCACCCATGTCACAAGTCCTGTATGCACTGGGAAATCTTGTTATAGYAATGAAGTTTTCTGTTAAACAATTATGACAATTTATTATGAACTTCTTACAAATTGTAGAGAATGCCAAAAAAAGTCACCTTTCTTTGAAGAACACACTATTTATGTTACAAAAAAGACATGTATGTGATTTGTATATCTTTTTAAAAAGAAATCCTGTTGAATGAAGCATGTGGATCACAAGGGCTATATATAGCCCAGTAGAGCCTGCAGTATGGCTTTGTGAAAATGGGATGGGCCTTTGAATGAAGGTTGTTGGGTTCTTCTGAGGGAAATAGAAAATTCTTTGAGAAGCTGGATGTGCATGCAGAAGTGTGTAGAGAATGTTCATTGCAGGAAAAAACAAAACAAAACAAAAAAAAAAACCAAAAAAACGTGGAAATAATACAAATGCCCAACTTGAAAGAAAATGTATTTATACAATAAAACTCTAATACATTAAAATTAATAAGCATGTAATAAATAATTAAAACAATATTGAGAGAAAAATACATTTCAGAATGATACCTGTGATTATTCATGTATTTTAACATATCTATGAACATATCTATGAACATATAAATAGATTGATAGAATGCTCACTATTAGAGTGGTTGCCTAAGAGTGTAGGAAAATGAGAATAGAGGAAGAATAAGTGAAATTAAGATTACCTAATACATTATTTCTTAAAAATAGCCTGAAATGGTAACAAATGTTTTAGAATAATTTCTTGCCATTGAATTAGAATTTGTGATATTATTCTTTGAACTAGTTAATGGTAATCTAAACCCTTTTTTTAAAAAATAAAAATGGTTTAAAAAGAAGTAATGAAATTAACCTTATCAACTACTATTCACCTGATCCTCCTGGATGTGCAGCAGACTTAGACTTTATTGTTTCTTTTTGCAGGTGAATGTTACTCGTGAAGACTCACCTAGTGAAGACCCAGTCTTTCTTAGGACTTTAGGAAAAGGAGACTGGTTTGGAGAGAAAGCTTTGCAGGGGTAAGTGACCACATGTTGCACAGTTTTTTGAATCCTGTGTTCCTGTTTTAAATTTGGAATTCCTAGCAAAATGARCCCTTTCTTTAGTACTTAAAATATAATATAGATACAGACCTATGGCAGTCATTTTTATTTATTTTCAGTTGAATTTGTAATCTATTTGGCTAGACCATAGAATTGATTTGTCACCATTTAATCAATCATTGYTATATTAACAGAAAGATTTCTAAGATTTGTGTTCCCTAATGGAAATCTCTATAATGACTCTTAAAGAGAGAAGTCTCTGCAAAATTACTCTGTACAACAATTCTACTTAGCTTGATGGGACGTGCTGGGCTGAGAATTTCAAGATCCCTAAGCCTAATTGTACAAATAATGGATCATAAGGCAGTAAATTCTTTCTAGTGTTCACCTCTGGGTGATAATTTTCATTGCCATTATGGGGATGGAGATGGAAGAGGGAATTGGAGGTGGTGATCATGAATACCTGAGTCCAGTACAGATGGGCTCTGAAGGCTGGACACAGGTATACTTCAAGGTGGCTGGAACTCCATTTGTAAACTAAGACCTCAAGAAACAAGCTCTTGAGATTTCTTCCCGTACATCATAGGAAAAAAACTGAGTTGATCAAACCGTGCATTTTGCAGAATGCATGATAGTTGTATTTGGGAATCCTACTCTCATTTTCCAATAAGCAACATATCTTAATTATCAGTAAATACAGATAGGCCTTTTCAGATATTTGCTCTGTATGTATATGTATCACTTGAATAAGAAATAAGCAATAAACATTTATTTTTTTGTATCGGATTCCAAATGCAGAAGTGTATATGGCAATAGGATGTAATTTACAATCAGTTTTGCTTCCATTTCAAATTGTGCCTTCATTTAAAAATTACATTATAAGCATTTTGCTTAAAATTTACCCAGAAAAAAATAGTTTAAGGAGTTTTTATTTTTAAAGCTATAATCAGATGGTAGGTTTTATCTTTTTTCTTCTTATTTCACAGCAACAGAATGAAACAAAGATATCTTAACAAKACATCTTACTCAGGCCATTTTTAACCAAACACACTCAACTTTTATTTTTATTTTACTGATATTATTTGATCCTGATCTGGTGAACATGGATTTGCCATTAGCTATTTCTAACATCAAAATTGGAAGAAATAGCATATTGGGTGTAGATACACAAAGGAATGCAATAAACGTGATTTTCCTAGTATGAACACCACAATCCTGTCATCTGTATCTTAATTTTTCTTTCTTTTGATTATTGAATATGTAAAAGGCTCTGTAGAATGATACCAGCTGATTTCATTGATCCAACAATAAATGCCTCTGTGGAAAACAACATCACTTGCAAAAGATCCAAACAAATGAAAAGAAAGAAAGAGAGAAAGAGAGAAAGAGAGGGGGGATGGGGGGAGAAAGAAAGAGAAAGAGAAAGAACAGAAACATTTACAATCATTTCTAATTAAGACTACAAGTAGAAAGCCAGAAAACAAGTCATATTGGGAATCAACAGATTTTCATATTTTCTTTAGTAGTTTATTGTCAATGAATTTTGATGTCAATTAAAGAAGACTTCCATAGTAAAAAAATTAGTTTGGTTTCCCAAGGAATGACCTTGAGAATATGGTTTATGAAAAAGTTGCCAAATTTTGCTCTAATATCAAAGTTTAAGTAAATAGTACATTTGGATTGGGTCCTTTCCAACACATGAGAATACTCATGAACTATCTGGTAATAGAACTTTCTTTTGCATATATTCAGTCCTCTCCACTGGTCATCTTAACAGGCTATGGAATAACCAACCCACCTTCCTCTCTTCATCCAACCCCACAACTTCCCTCCATAGCCACCCCCATTTTATTCTGACCGTTCCTTTTTTCTTACACCCTTTATTCTCAGTTTTCCACTACTAAGTGTGGCTTTATTGGTCTCTTTTAAGTACTAAGGTCTTTGTTTTTTATCTTTATTTAACTATACTTTTTGGCACATTTTACTATTGATTACTCTTTCCTTCTTAAAATTTTCCCATTTTGGGGGCTATTTAAATTATTAGCACTCCTTAGCATTTCTTATTTCATATTCTTTTATATATTCTTAAARATAACATTTATTACTAAGGGTGGAGGTGAAAAGAAGAAAATTTTCTGTGGGGATACCTRAAAAATCAGTATTTTCCAGTTATCAAAGTTTGAGTTACCACTTTTATGTTTTCTCGTGTAAGTCTCTTCCTCTGCTCTTGATTCAGAGAGCTTCTCTCTCAAATCTCTGATGGTCTTGAATGGACACTTGTCAGATGTATACATCACTCACTCAGAGTCAACGTACTTACACCTTTTTATGATTTGTGTCCTCATGCCCTTTGCTCTACTTATTTCTGTTCCTGATGATTTTTTCTGCTTTGGCGGTACTGGGAATGAAACTCAGAGCCTCAATATGTACTAGGCAAGTACCCTACCACTGAGCAACGCATGCAGACCCCATTTTCTCCTTATTTATTTTTGAAGGAAACATCCCTTAGAGGCAACTTCAACACAAAGTCTTAATTTGTTTTCTGTAGATTACTTCCCCTATTCATCCACTTTTCTGTCCTTTTCATTGTCCCAGTTAGCAAGATCCTTATGTAGTTGGCCCTCATTGTCTGTGTGATCTCATGGTTTCAGAGGTCTCAGTCCATAGATGGCCAACTTCACTGTTCTAGGCCTGAGGTGAGACAGGACATCATGGCAGAAGGAGGCAAGCATCTCAGCTACGACAATCATGTCATGTCAGTAAGAGAGAGCTGATTTCATATCTTAAAATACATCCATATTTTTTCCTTAGCTCTCTTTTTTACATACTTGGCAAGCTTTTCCAGATGTAAGACCACATTAGAACTCAATGAAAAGAAATCCTAAATATTTATCCACTGATCTGATTCTAGATTCTTGCACTTATCAGATACTCAACAAGTATTTGTTGAATGAATGAATGGATTAATGAATGAAGATATGGATGAAAAAATACCTCTCTAATGATACCCAATATTTCAATACATTCTRTCATTGATTACCTTCACTACTTCAAATTGTTTGGTGATACCTAAATGGATTTGAGCTCACTTGACTATAGGGGGCAGGTTAGTCATGTAAATGAATAAAAAGGATGAATAAAGCAGGGGCGCAAACTGGAAAGCTTTGTGTAATGGACAGCAATTACTAAACTCTAGTTTATTCCTTCTCTGTAATGTGATCTCAACTTTATTAAGAAAAACAGAAAAAATATATTTTAAAAATATGAAGTATAATTTTTAAACTCTGTTGGAAAAACAATAGCAAATATACAAGCCCCAAATCGTTTCTGAAGAATGTTTGGCCTATAGACTGCCATTTTATGAATTCTATCAATCATATGTACCTCTTTCAAAACTGTATCTACCTAAGCTTATTAGGTTAACCCTTATTGATCATTTTCTTGATTTGAGTTCATCACAGTGTTTTCATGTCCTATGTCTATAACTTGTTTTTCACCCATGTTTCTGTGTTCTTTTGTGATCTTTTCTTTCAATTTCAATGTTTCACACAAGAAATTCTAGTATTACACAAATAAAATTGATTTGTTTCACTACTTTACCTCAAAATATCTTGTCGATGGATAAGACCTCAGGTTATAAGTTCTTTGGGCAACTGTGTACTGTATATCCTTTGGGTGATAGTTATTCTTATGTGAAAACCCTATAATTTTTTACAGTGGAAGAAAAATTTTATAGTCAGGACTCTTTCTGTGTGTATAACAATGCATTAAAGACATGTGGTTTTCMAACAAATAAAACTTTTATGTATTGGGAAATTTTGTTTTATCCCCTGAGTGTATGTTCAGCAGATTGTTAAAATATTGCTTAATTTGTAATTGAATGAAATGAAAACATCATTGAAATTTAAAAATTTGAGATTGCCTCATAYTTGTATTGATTAAGCACAGTAGATAAATGAATGACTGATGAAATGTGAACTCAGCCTCCTATTCACTGTGGACCACTTACCTGTAGAAGTAACAAGATTTATTTCTTTCTTGGATGGAGACATTGGAGTCATAAATATAGATCTCTTTTAAACTATATTATTAATAGCCACTAACTCATAGCATCTCATCACTAGAAAAATATGAGTCACTTATTCTTTCATTTTGGTATCAAGCAAACTAAATACTGTTGTTTGGCTAAGGTGTCATTTTATGTTGATAATGGTTATCCATGCCAGAGAAAGGGTGAAATGTTTTGTTTGGGGTATAAGTACTTCCTATATGCATGAAAATCACAGTTTTGCTGCAAAAAGATATTTCAGGTTTAGTCCAATAGTAGGAGTCAATACATTTACACTCTGACTTATTGCTCCACATTTCTACCTGAATTGAAACCATATAGAATACATGTAAGCATCACATAATGTTGAATTCTAAGCCAAACATTACCTTTGCATATCTAATGAAGRAAAATAAATTCAAGTTCAACCCAAGAAGGATGCAATTGTATTAAATATATGCAAGTTCAACCCAAGAAAAATGCAATTGTACTTCTTGGCACCCACCTTCCTTTCTGCTAACATTTGAGTCTTCGGTATCTCATAGAATTAAAAGAGTTTTAGCTCAAAAATCAGACTTCCTGAGTTAGAATTCTATTATTTACTAATTATGAAATTTTAAAAGTTTTTTTTAATCTGAAATGGAGATTATAGTTGTACCTAACTTTGGGCTTGTTCTGAGGATTAATCAAGAGGATACTTGTAAAGTGATTTAATGAGGGTCTAAAATATAGTGTAATGCCCATCACCATCACCTTCACATCACATATGGTCATCCTTTCTCAAGAGTGTTCTGCTGCTATTTGACAAGTGTAGGGCACTTGGTATAATTGGAATAGTGTTAGATTGTGAGTCTGTCACTCACTGCTTACATAACTTTGAACAAGTCTCCCTTTCTGAACCTGTAAACTAAACCAATTGAACTATATA